TATCGATATGGACATGTGAAAAACGTGCGTCGGGTGCGAGAAAAGCGCCAATGGGGCTTTGTTGTGTTGTCCGACTTTGGCCTTCTGACAGGCCAAACATGAACGGGTCCACTGGTGGATATCAGTGTTCGTGCTTGGCCAAACGAACCGCTCGCTGACGAGGCGCTGGGTAGTGCGGATGCCAGGGTGAGCTTGATTGTGCAACGCGGCAAAAACATCTCGTCTCATCTCGCTTGGCACTACTGGTCGGGAGGCACCGCGCGATACGTCACACAAGATTGTAACGGGGGTGGTGGAAAGAGGAATGGCTTCGGGTTGAAGACTAGGCTCTCAATGAAAGTCGGCTGATTTTGCAGTTCTGCCATGCGTCCGAAATCGATGGAAGGGCGGGTGATGGCATTAATGCCAGGCCGAGAAAGACAGTCAGCAACTTGATTATAAAGGCCTTTAAGAAATCGAATCTCGGTGGTATACTGAGAAATAAAATCGAGATGGGGGGCCTCGCGGGGTGAATACTTGTCAGACGAAGTAGATAGGGCATAAGAAAGAGGCTTGTGGCCAGTATAAATACAAAAATCTCGGCCCTCAATATAATTGCGAAAATGCTTAATGGCTAAATAAATTGCAAGAAGTTCTCTACCAAAAGTGCTATAGCGAGTTTGTGGGGGTCAATTTGGCAGAGTAGAAAGCCGAAGGCTGGGTGCCAGTGGGCGTCTGTTGCTGAAGGGCAGCACCTATAGCGAAATTAGAGGCGTCGGCCACAATGGAAAGTGGGGCATCAGGTATAGGGTGAACAAGGACAGCTGTATCCGCAAAAGCCTTCCTCGCACGATTGAAGGCCTCTACAGCTGTGTCAGGAAAAGAAAACTCACGGTTGTTTTCGCGTAAAAGGTTAGTAAGTGGTAGCATTAATTGAGCACAATGAGGGATAAAACGTCGATAGAAATTGACAAGGCCTATAAAACGGCGCAGTTGTTGAAAAGAAGTGGGAGTAGGGAAATCGCGAATAGCTGAAACTTTGGCATCTATGGGATGACAACCAGAAGCATCTACGCGATGTCCTAGGAAAAACAGCGACTGTGCGCCAAAAAAAATCAATCATGTATCAATCTACCGCATTCTCTGTCGTCCCTCCTCGCCACTATATACATCTATATATAAGAGGAGAGACGACAGAGCTTGTTTGCTTCGGGAAACCAATGCATCGGTGTGCGCCCATTCCTGAGTGAATATACATATATATGTAATGGTAGAGGGACGCTCACCGATCGTTCTTACAGAACTCACTCGTTCCGTTGTGCCTTGGGCTATTTCTCAAGCCCCACCAGCAGCCACACAGTGGCGCATGATATAAGCAGTATGTTATTCCCGACAAAGGCATAAATATACGCATCCGCCCGTGTTTTCCCACGAGAAGACTGTAATTTAGACTCGATTGTTTTGTCAAATAAAACTTGGCACACTTGAAGAAGATTTGTTTTCAGCATTTACATCAGATGATGTAAGCAAGCGGGTTGTTTTTAGAAAACCAGACGTTTCATCGACTCTAAGACGTCAGATTTGCAAACCTACGTGATTTTGTGCTCTTAAATGCAGTAGAAGTGTCTCCTTAAAATTTTTGCTCAAACTTTCTGATATTTTTCTGTTCTTTGCAAATACTCCTTAACTTGCCGCGAAAAGTTACTCTGTAACTGGCTATAATGACGTTTGAGTATACAGTGTAATAGTTTTCCATGGTCTACCTTCTGGTAATGCCTAATTTAGAAACAGAACGGGCAGAAGTACAGCAGTTTTGGCATTTCTACTCGTGAAACGGCGCCTAAAGTTGAGCAAATATCGCTAAAATGGCTCAAATAAAAAGAAGAAGTTGAGTTCTTTCGTTTGTGACAGAAAACCTATCACTAATTTTCCGGAAAGCCAAAGAATCGTCCCAATTCTTATCTTGACTAAGCCTTGGAAAAAGATAAAGTATGGAGACGCCCGTCAGAGAAACACGTAAAGCAAAACGCATTTTAGAGAGGTAACTTATAAGAGAAGGTTTTTTAATTGATCTGAGGCATATTCATTGCAGACTTTCGGTGAGAACGTCAATTTTCCTCAGCGATGAGGTCTCTTGTTTGAGTAAGTCTCCATTCATAATCCAAACGGCCACCTGCAAGATCTTATTTCGTAGCCGTACCTGTTAGGGGTTAGGGATTTGGAGTTAGGCTTAGAGGTTTAGGTTAAAGGGTTAGGGGTCAGGGATTAGGGTTAGGGATTAATGTGAGAGTTAGGGGATGGGGTTAGGGTTAAACCCCGTATTATCACTGGTCCCCTATGACAGGCAGCTGGCGCTTGTCTACTGCAGGTACGGCCACGAAATGAGATCCGCCCAGCAGATTTTATCCCTGGACGCAGCTGCGTTGGCCTGTCCGATCACCTCGTTGAACACACATTGCAAAGGCTATTTACAAGAAAGAAAACAGCCAAACTGGCCCAAAATTTGTGGTCGGTAGTGGCGCCTCCTCCTTGCATTTGGAGGACGTTTGCGCATGCGCACCTTTTCCGCCGAACGACATCGTCCCTCCACAAGCGCCGATTAGTGTTCATCGGTAGGGATGATTGACGGGAGGCCTGGACCAATAAATGAGCTTGGTGGCGCCAATAGCAAACGCGAAGAGAGAGAGAGGAAAGTGAGGGCAGTGTTGGCTTTGAGACTGGCAGTCCCACTTTTGGACCGTGTGCAGGTATGCTTAACTGATTTGGCAGGACGTGGAGGTTTCCAGTGTCATTAGCCCACAGGGCAGGCGTTATAAATCCGCGGTTTGCATAGTATGTTGGCGACTCGACGCAGCATGAATTTGCGCTACGCAGGATTAAAAGAAGATGTAGATTCGCATTCTCGTAAACATATAGAACAGAATCTACATTTGCAGTCAGTCTATTAAAAACGCTGAAAGCGAAAAGTATTTACCGCTATTTCGACGACGATCTGAAACTCACTGTTTCCCAGCAAAAGAAATAACTTCAAGGAAATTTGACGAAGGGAAAGTTGTCATAAGACACACACGCAAAAGGGTGGTTTTGCGAGTGCATCTGACCATTCTAATTAAGTTTATTAGTCTCTGAGTCGCCTGTTACCATGTGACCATATAAAACAATTTTATTCCTCTTGGCAAAACCAATCGGCAACCTGTTGGCTGCATCGCAAACAATGGAAAAACAAATAAATGAAGCCAATTATAGTGAAACCGTGTGGGGATCATACTCAAAATGTAGACTGTTGGTTAACTGCCGCAGCTAACGTTGCACTAATTAGTGAAGGATATTTAAGTATAAACTTCACTAAAGGACTATTTTCAAACCTTATTCTACTTGTGCTGTTTTGTGGACTCGGTATTTTGCACGGACAGACTTTCTATACAACTATGCAACTTACGCTTACGCAGGAAAAATGATCTGTGACGTAGAATAACATAAACGACAAGGAAAAAAGGGGGTGAGGTACAAAATCGCGTCCTTTTCAAATTTTATGCTTGAAATAAGAGTATTTTCGGCTGAATAATTTCGAAACTGACCTGCCGTTACACTGCCGTATAGTTTCCAAACCAAGAGCTCTATATCTTTCATGCGAGGAAGGTTGCATATTTATATATGTTATTGGATGGACGTCGTATTGGGCCCGTAAAGCTCCGCAGTGCGCGTGGGGCATGTTGCATACGTTACAGGCAGCATTAATAAATGAACGAATATGATTCTTTATGGACAGAAGTTTCAGGTGTTAGGAAACCTCATAAGTACAAAAATTTTAAAAACAACAAATACACTTTTTCCAAGCATAAAATTTAGAGAATTGCGATAAGCGTCCGTTATGCCGTCCTGGTCCCGATTGTAAGCGCAATGTGTGGGCATTGCAAGTAAAGTAAGCTGAAGGCAGATGCTGAACCTGTCAGTGGGAAAGTAACCAATGCTACAACGAAATAGGGTAACCTGATATTTTGGTTTATATTTAGGACTATTTTTGGCGTTTGGTTTAGTGTCTAGCTGAGAATTGAGTTTAGGGTTAGGGTTTGTGTTATGTTTAAGGGTTTCGGCTAGAGTTACGGTTTGGATTGCGGTTTAGGTCTACGTTCTGTTTTAAGGTCGGGGTTAGTGTTAGAATTAAGGTTAAGGTTTGGGTTGGGGTTTGGATTATGGTTAAGGGTAGGGCTAAGATATGGATCAGGGTTGGTGTTTGACTTATGATTAAGGCACGGGTTTTCGGTATGCTTAAGGTCACATTTAGTGTTAGGTTTATGATTACATTGAGGTTACGGTTGGGCTTACCATTGCTGCCCCGCATTTCCTGTCAGCCAGGTCTTTTACGGGAATTCTAGGTTTTCATTAAACTCGCGGCAGATTTATCGTGCATCCGGTTACCTTTTTCATTTTAGTCTCGGTAACTTCATCAACTACCGATTTCACCATTCCCCTTCGGCTTAGTTTCCTTTCGATGTCCATAGTGCGCTTATACTTGGGGCCGGGAATGCCGTGGCGAAGTGTGTGTGAAAGACATCTGTACAAAACCTACTTTAAATCACCAAAGTCGCAGAGCTACTGAGGAAACACTAGTCACGAGGAGTTATAATTGCCAAATTTGCAGGACTCTATCAACCGCACCATCACAATGCTTTAAAATTACATATTTTATACAGTTTACAAAAAGGCAAAGCTAAGTACTTCACACTTCGATTAATTGAAAGTTAATGTAGGAAGAAAACTACTCATTCAGATAAGACTACCAAAACAGTATGTCTGAGCATAACGTCTTCGCTAACCATAGGCACCATCATGCATGCTGCCTAGACTGTGGGAGAAGCAGAATGCATAGAATGCGCCATAGAAAGTTGAAACGTAGGCCTTCGGCATAACGGCTTGGAAGACCACTTTAGTACAGGCCACCAACGGTTCAGAAGGTCAAATATGTGGGTTACTGTTGACGACATACTTTAGAAATATAAATGCAAGAAAAGTGGCCACTGATGGACACGTACAATCATCGGTATTTGCCATCCGTGATTCGCCAGTCTCTGTGCGATGGATTCGCAGGTGACCAACCAGACCAACGTGGTGACGTGGAGGTGCGATCACTATGGGGACAGGATTGGGCCGAATCCACATTGCTGGCGTCGACAGTGGTCTGGTTGATGCTCGTCGGTGTGTCGGGAGTATGTCCAGTGGTGGTGGGTACAGGGGCCACAGCAGCAGACGGTGAGGCGATGGAGGAAGAGGTGGTGATGGTGGTGGAGGAGGTGGAGGAGGAGGAGGAAGAAGAGGAGAAGGAGGAGGGGGAGGAGGAGGAGGAGGAAGATGGTAGTAGTAGTAGTAGTAGTAGTAGTAGTAGTAGTAGTAGTAGTAGTAGTAGTAGTAGTAGTAGTAGTAGTAGTAGTAGTAGTGGTAGGAGTAGTAGTAGTAGTAGTAGTAGTAGTAGTAGTAGTAGTAGTAGTAGTAGTAGTAGTAGTAGTAGTAGTAGTAGTAGTAGTAGTAGTAGTAGTAGTAGTAGTAGTAGTAGTAGTAGTAGTAGTAGTAGTAGTAGTAGTAGTAGTAGTAGTAGTAGTATTAGTAGTGGGGATTCAGGCGTGCTGTCAATGTTGATTGTCGGTGTGGGAATTAGGCAGAGTTGGACGGGGAGACAGCAGCTGGTGTAGTCCGGGTGCCGCAGTTGGTACGAAGATGTCCTACAAGGCCGATTGGTGCCTGAAACGTCCGCTGGCAGCTTGGGCAGGTCGGAATGGTTGAGTGTTGGCGTCGCGAGACGTGGTCAGTTGTGATTCGTGGACCTCGCGTCTAGCTTTGGCGACGGTGATGCGATTGTCTTCGTAGATTGCTGTGCCCGTCTTCAATGCTCTCCTCCAAGTCGGTCGGTCTCGGACAAGGTCATCCCAGTTGGCCGAGTTTATCTGAAGACGCTTCAGACAAGTCTTAAGCGAGTCCCTGCAGCGCGGTAGCTGAACTTGTCGGCTGGAACCCATGACGGCATCTCCATTCAGGAGTCCTTTGGGTAACCGTTCGTTCATCCACAGTAGGTGGCCGCTCCAACGCAGTTGCAGTTGCCTCAGCACGGCGTAGACGCTGAGGATTCCCGTCCGCTACAGTACATCCGTGTACGGGATCCAGTTCTGCCATCTCAGCCTCACTATCCTTCGAAGACAGCTGAGGTGGAAGTGACTGAGTGTTCGCGCCCGCTTCTTGTTCACCATTTAGGTCTCCGCTCCATACGGCAGCGTCGGCAGGATGACTGCTCTGTACAGCTTCAGTTTGATGTTGAGGTGGAGATCCTAGCGATTCCAGGCTGTGCTCTGCAGACGGCCGAAGGCTTGGCTGGCTTTGGAAATCCGGCCGACCACTTCATCGTCGACCTTGGTGTTGTTGGAGAGGGTGTTGCCCAGATAGGCGAAATTGTTCGCAGCTTGCAATTGGGCGCTGTTCACGTTTATTTGGAGTGCGACGTAGGCAACGTCGGGTGGCGGTTGATGCATGACCACTGTTTTCTCCGAGTTGACCATCAGGCCGAAGTTGTCACAGGCGGCGGTGAAGAGGTCCATGCACCTTTGCATGTCCCCTTCGGAGGTGGCGTTGAGAGCACAGTCGTCGGCGAGCAGAAGTCCATGGACGGAAGTTGTGGATACACGCGACTGGAAGTGCATCCGCCGTCGACTGAGAAGGTGGCCGTCCGTCCTATAGACGACCCGGGTCCCGGGGCGTTGGTCGGTCCTTCATTAAGATGGCGAGAACATGAGAGTGAAGAGGGTGGGCGCCAGGACTCATCCCTGCTTCACTCCGCCAGTCACTGCGAATGCCTCTAAGTCAGCTCCATCGTCTGTGACTCGCCCCGTCTTATGGTCGTGGAGCTGACGCACCATTTATGAATCGTTCGGGATAGTCGAATTTCTGCACGATTTCCCGCAGTCCTCCGCGATCCACCCTGCCGATTCGCGAAGGCAGAGTCCACATCTCCAGGCACTTCTGCTGCAGTTGGCAGGCGGCGCAGATAATGTCGGTGGTTCCACGGCGGTTTCGTGTTAGCCTGTTTTGATCATGTTTGATGCGGCTTGGAGCCATGGTTAGCGCGCAGAGTACGTGATCCCGGCATTTGTTTAGGACAACTTTTCTAGCCCCTTCCTCTGCAAGCAGATAAGCGTTTTTGCTCCTAAATAGGGCTGATTAGACACCCCAGACGGCTGCCGGACTCCATTATGAGCCACGAATTTGTTTAGTGAGAAAACCGAATTATACTCTTCTTCTGAGTATGAAATTGGAAGAAAACGTGATTTTCTACCGAATAAATAAAAGAATGAATATTTTTATGCAGGTTTTCGATGAAATATAATTCAATTTTTAAGGGCATCGAAAATCAATGAGAAAATTGCATACTACGTAAGTAGTCATTTTTTGCAGTGTATAGATCTAGCATGCAGCTGAAAATAAGTTTTTTCGAAAGCCGACACCCTGAGGCAACTGGATCATTATAGATTTATGTTGCATCATGATTATTTTTACAACACTACTTAATTTATCTTTTCGAAACGAGAACGCACTTCGAAATTTTGGTTGACAATTCATGAGTTAGCACATCAACTGTATGTCTACATTCACGAGAACTTTGCAATGACGTGGAAACCGGATCAAATAAATGAACGACGGCGTTGATTTAAAATGAGAGGCACTCAGGTAGGTACGGAGAAGAATGACGGCATCGATAGCAACACCTCGGTGGTTAGAAACGGCGATAGTTAAGTAACATGTCAATCGTCAAAAACGCGAAAATCCGTGTCATATGAGCAAAATTATCTTTTCTTGACGTACTCAATGCCTGCAGTTCAATTAGTTAACCAAAAAATATTGCACTCTTTTGTAACTCCTTTTGACAAAACTTCAGATTGAGTATTATCGCAAAATTTGTTTTAAATCTGATATGGCAGCCGGTAAACTGATTGTTGTCTGGTAGAATTCTTCCAAAGACCATCACCTGTCACACAGCGGCAGAATGGCGACAGTCTGTGAGGCGAAACCTATGGCTTCTGAATATGGGGCAGTTATCCCGTCGATGTTGATGGATTTCGACTGAGCTAGTTATGTTATCTCTTGGGCCGAGCATAAAGAGCTTAGCTCCGAAGGATTTACTTCAAAATAGCGCTTTGATTTCCGAGGGTACTAAAAATTGAACTAATATTTCGTTTGTGCGCTGTTTGGGACGCCGTTGACTGGGATACATGTACTGTTGGCAGACTTCGAGGACGGAAACGTTGGAGGAACAACAGGTTTCACAGTGCCACATGTCGAGAGTTCCGTCAGTTGTGTACAAATTATGTAGGGTGGCCTTGACCCAAATTGCAGGGCAAGCAATGGTTAATGTCAGTGTTAGCGTTAGGAAGGATGGTAGATTGGTTATGATTAGGGTCATGAGTGCTAGGGATAGGGTTAAGTTTACGGGGGTTAGTACTGGAGTCAGGTTAAGAGTAAGGCACGGGACGGTCGAGAGTGGTTGCGTGTTCGAATCCCGTCCGGGGTTACCAATTGTCGAGAGTGGTGTGGTCAGGGAAGACGGAGTAAGCTGGACAACTTTTACTGCCTGAGAAAGTGCACACACAAGGGCTCTGTAGGCAGTCGTCGCGAGCGCGCTCCAAGGAAGCTGTTGTCTGTGTCCTCCTTCGAGGTGTTGTGTCCCAGCGCGTGTGTGCGCCTTTCGTTATCTCCGCGTCCGCCAGCCAATGAAAGAGGGGACAGCGTTGATTGGCTTCGCGCACTCGCGAGGCTATTGACAAGCCACGCGCGTCCCGACAACGTATTGACAAGGAGCGTGATACGGACAGGAAAGCAGCCTGGCAACGACGGAGGGCAAGGAGACGCGAACAGCCACAGGGCAACCCATTGTACTGGCGTGGACCAAATGTAGACCAAATATGGAATATGCAAACACCTAAGAATACACATACAGTGCGTGACCTATCTCATGAAATGTTGGCTGAAATTCTGAAATGCGTTTTCGATTAGGAAGGATTACTTGGTCGCGGTTGTAATACTGATTATCTTAAGGCATACTCTTATAACAGTTTGGACTCGGCAGGATGTCGGCTTTAAAATGCTCTTCTTTTCACTCTCCTGTAGAAAGCGTACTCGGTAAAAAATGACTACTTAAGTAGCATTCATTTTTCACATTGATTTTCGATGGTATTGGAAATTAAAATACACTTTATAGAAACCACAAACAAAAATATGCTTTCTTTTAGTCAATCAATAGAAAATCACGTCTTCTTTATATTTTATACTTAAGGAAGGAGTATAATTAGGTTTTAAAAAAGTTTCTAATTATGAGACTTTTTGAGACCGCGATATGTCCATTCACATAGCATCGTACCTGGCCGTTTACCACTGCTCCTCATGAAGTGTACAACATGGTCCGCATCCATTGCAAAATTTTATGGACCCTGTATAATATCTCTTTAATGACATAGAAAAATATGGGATTTTCTTTACGCGGAACGCATGCACCTTGTAGAGTGTAATCACTAAGATCTAATGCAACGGATGATCAGGATCCAAATTTTTCGGCAATTAGAAAACATTTTTAAAAACCTCATTATCCTCCTTCCTTAAGTATAAAATATAAAGAAGACGTGATTCTCTATTGATTGACTAAAAGAAAGCACATTTTTGTTTGTGGTTTCTATAAAATATATTTGAATTTCCAAGACCATCGAAAATCAATGGGAAAAATGCATGCTACTTAAGTAGTCATTTTTTACCGAGTACGCTTTCTACAGGAGAGTGAAAAGAAGCGCATTTTAA